CCAACTTGAAAACTGGGCCCATAATCAAAAATCTAAACACATGTTTAGATTCAGCATATCAAAGAACCCCAAGAATTCAATTTTTGTTAAAATCAAACTAAGTTTAATTTTGGACCCTTTGGACCTTAATGTAGACCAATTTAAAAACGGGACCCAAAATTAAAAATCTAAATACACGGTTAGATTTGGCATATCAAAGAACCCCAATAATTCAATTTTTGATGAAATCAAACAAAGTTTAATTTTGGACCCTTTTGACCTCAATATGAACCAATTTGATAGCGGGTCCACAAATAAAAAATCTAAATACATGGTTAGATTCAGCATATCAAAGAACCCCAAGAATTCAATTTTTGATGAAATCAAACAAAGTTTAATTTTGGACCCTTTTGACCTCAATGTGGACAAAGTTGATAACGGGGCCCAAAAATCAAAAATCTAAATACATGGTTAGATTCAGCATATCAAAGAACCCCATATATTCAATTTTTGTTGAAATCAAACAAAGTTTAATTTTGGACCCCGATTTGAACCAACTTGAAAACTGGGCCCATAATCAAAAATCTAAATACATGTTTAGATTCAGCATATCAAAGTACCCTAAAAATTCAATTTTTGTTAAAATCAAACTAAGTTTAATTTTGGACCCTTTTGACCTTAATGTAGACCAATTTGAAAACGGAACCAAAAATTTAGAATCTAAATACACGGTTAGATTCGGCATATCAAAGAACCCCAATAATTCAATTTTTGATGAAATCAAACAAAGTTAAATTTTGGACCCTTTGGACCTCAATGTGGACCAATTTAAAAACGGGGCCCAAAATCCAAAAACTTAATACATGGTTAGATTCAGCATATTAAAGAACCCCAAGAATTCAAGAATAAAACCCCATTGAAATTGATCAAGAAATAAGCAATTTATACGAAGTATCTTCTTTTGCACAATACTGTGCAATTGAATATTTCTTGCTATTGTGCAATACTGTACAATTGACAATTTCTTGCTATTGCGCAATATTGTGCTATTGGATATTTCTTGCTATTGCGCAATACTGTGCAATTGAAGATTTCTTGCTATTGCGCAATACTGTGCAATTGAAGATTTCTTGCAATTGTGCAATACTGTGCAATTGAAATTTCTTGCTATTGCACAATACTTATTATATAATAATTTACACATCCTGTTTGGTGTGTATCTCCTACCATATCATTATTATTTGCTTTTAAATATTAATCAGAAATAATCAACTTAAAATGGAAAATTTTAAAAGAAAAAAAAAAGGAAAAAAATTTTAAAAAATTAAAAAAAAAATCCCCCCCCCCCAAATTTTTTGAACCCCCTTATGATTCATCACCCCCAAACTCAATCCCAGCCTTCCCTTTGTGGTATGGTACCTTGCAGTACAATTTCAGAGAGATCCATACACTTGAACACAAGTAATTGTCTGGAAACTAGAAAAATGCTTATTTTTGGCCCCTTTTTGGCCCCCAATTCCTAAACGTTTCGGGCAATTACCCCCAAACTCAATTCCAGCCTTCCCTTTGTGATATGGAACCTTGTGGTACAATGTCAGAGAGATCCATACACTTACACACAAGTTATTGTCTGGAAGTTACAAAAATGCTTATTTTTGGCCCCTTTTTGGCCCCTAATTCCTTAACTGTTGGTACCATAACCCCCAAAATCAATCCCCACCTTCCTTTCGTGGTATTGAACCTTATGGTAAAATTTCATGGAGATCCATTCACTTAAACTAAAGTTAGAGTGCGAAAACCAATGTGTCTTCGGACGACGCCGGACGACGACGACGACGACGACGATGCCAACGTCATACCAATATACGACCAAAAAATTTTCAATTTTTGCGGTCGTATAAAAAACTAAACACTGATCAATGCACCGTGAAAATGAGGTCAAGGTAAAAAAAAACCCGCCAGACTGAAATGTACCGTACATTGAAAAATATTTCCTTACACCAAATATAGTTGACCAATTGCATATAGTATTAGAAAAAAAGACCAAAACACAAAAACTTAACTTTAACCACTGAACCATGAAAATGAGGTCAAGGTCACATGACACCTGCCAGTTGGACATGTACACCTTACAATCATTCCATACACCAAATATAGAAGACCTATTGCTTATAGTATCTGATATATGGACTTGACCACGAAAACTTAACCTTGTTCACTGATCCAAGAAATGAGGTCAAGGTCAGATGAAAACTGTCTGACGGGCATGAGGACCTTGCATATTAAATATAGTTATCCTATTACTCTTAATAAGAGAGAAATTAACATTACAAAAAATCTTAACTTTTCTTTCAAATAGTCACTGAACCATGAAAATGAGGTCAAGGACAATGGACATATGACAGATGGAAACTTCATAACATAAGGCATCTATATACAAAGTATCAAGCATCCAGGTCTTCCAACTTGGAAAATATAAAGCTTTTAAGAAGTTAGCAAACGCCGCCGCCATAATAGCCGCTGGATCACTATCCCAATGTCGAACTTTCTGCTACAAAAGTCACAGGTTCAACAAAAATTGCTTGTGTTTTACCCCTTTAACTGTGGTCGTTAATTCCTAAAAGGATACGGCCATAATCCCCAAATTCAATCCAACCTTCCTTTTGTGGTATGGAACCTTGTGGTACAATTTCATACAAATCCATACATTTATACACAAGTTTTTGTCTGGAAACCTGAAAAATGTTAGCTTTTGGCTCCTTTTTGGCCCAAAATTCTAAAACCGTTAGTGCCATAACCCTCAAAATCAATCCTGACCTTCCTGTTGTCATATGGAACCTTGTGGTACAATTTCATAGAGATCCATAAACTTACAATCAAGCTATTGTCTGGAAACCAAATGTCTTCAGATGACGACGCCATTGCCATACCATTATACAGCCGCAAATTTTTGCAGTCGTATAAAATACCCTAATGAGCAAACACACATATCCCATGCTTGGACGGGCCCCACCTTAATAAATATGTCCCCCATTCTAGATTTTCTCATTATCAAATTCTTCTGAGGACTTTTGATAAACAGAAAATCTTCGTAAATTTTGAGGAGGATCCGACAAATAATCAGAGTTGTGTCTGTTCAAAACTGGCAACTTTGGGGGGACTGACTTGGTATAGCATGTATTTTAGACTTGAACCAATTTTAATTTTCAAATTTCACTTTGTCCTCTTTTAGCCATGTTGAAAATTTATTCACAAAATAAAAAAATCAATGAATCTTATGTTGCTCACAAAATAAATGTCTGTTTACCATGAAAATATTTTCAAGAAATACACGACCCTGCAAACTTATTTGCTTTCCAATTAAAAAGAAAACATTCCAAATCTACAAGATGATTTTTTGTGGAATACCATGTAAAGGACTGTCTGGTAGTTTTGATCATCAGACCAATACACTGAATCTATTGATTAAGTATACAACTGTTGTAATTAATTAGATGATCAGAGCAGCACGATAAATGATGAGTCTCTGATAGACATAACAAATAAAAACTTATTTGAATTCATCTTAGCCATGTGTAAAATGAAACTAGAATTGTTGAAAGACGTCCAAGATTCCACATAAAAGGCCTTCCAACATTGTAAACTATTATACTCATACATCAAAGATTTAACGTTTTTTGTAAGTGATTCTATAAACTTAACAGACATGTTTACTGTACTGACTGCTCAAATCTTAAAAACTTGATGGCAATTTATGGTAAAGATGAACTAAGGGAGATAACTCCAAACAACAAACGGTTTTATCTCATGGAAATATGTTCATTACTTTCTACCTATTATTTTTCCAGTTGGAATATGAGTATGAAATGATGAACTTCAGACAGGAAAAAGTCATAAATCAACTGTTTTACAATTACTTTTGTAATGCAAAAATCTTGGCAAAATAAAGAGATAAAGTGATTATTGCTACCACTATGATATATGTGATATTAAATGTACAGTGACCAGAGATAGATTCTACCACAATACCCCATCCATTATGGCATTCTTTCACTCCAGATTGTTTAATTTTCAAAATTCAAAATGCAATGCTAGCTAATATTTTCAAAATTTCAAAATTTATCCATCACTAATGGACTAATATCATAATTAGGTAGCTCCAACATGGTAAAATCCAACCTGCCACCTTGGGAGTTCATTGAAAAATATCAAGTATAATATTCTGAATAGATTTGGCAGTAAATCACATGTGACAATTTAATAAAAATCCAGTTTAAAGAAAATTTATCAAATTGGTTAGAACCAGTCTAAATGCAAGATTTAAAGAAACAGAATGGACACACTGAAATGTCTCTCCTGCTTTACTGATTAGGATTGAAATTTAATGTTGAAAGTCTTAGAAATCAAGATTTTACTATAGGTATCACCATCACTAATCATTACCAATGATCCATAAAAATGAGGTCAAGGTGACCTAGTCAGATGAACCCTGTCAAACAGACATTTACTATACAACGATTCCATACAACAAATACAGTTGACCTTTAACTTACATATACCTGTTGTAACCACAAAACTTAGTCGACCAATGAGCAATGAAATGTGGTCAAGATGTTCTACCTTTTGAAATATGAAGATATATACAAAAAGCTATGGCTACTGCATCCATATTGTGTATCAAAGTCTGCTACAGAGGAGACCAAAATAATTACTCCCATCTTTTGTAGGTACAACTAGCAATATCCATGCAAAGAATTATTCTGATGAAGGTAGAGTTCAGCCACAGTATAGTTACATGTGACTGCAATGTTTATGATATCTTACATACTATCGATAAACCTAGTGGATTGTAACCAGAAGCTGATCTATTAGACAGCATTTTCCACTGGATGCCACTATCAATATATCTAATAAATAACATACCCTGAGTAAGTCTGGTGGGTTCAGAGACAAGACCTGTATCTATGAAGCAGAGTTTAGCCACTGGATGCCACTATCAATATATCTAATAAATAACATACCCTGAGTAAGTCTGGTGGGTTCAGAGACAAGACGTGTATCTATGAAGCAGAGTTTAGCCAATGGATGAAATGTCACAACACCATGTATATTGTCTATGTAACAATGGTCATCCTCTACACCTGTCCCTTGTATAATCAGGTCAGGAAGTACCTCAGCATCAACTGTACCTATATCTGTTCTTCCTGGAAGAAAAAAAATAGAACTGCATAAAAAATAGGCCCAGAAAAAGAGACCTTGCTGTATGGGTGGTCTCTTGTCAGAATGGGTTTGATTCCTGGCAAGGTCAAATCACAAACTTTAAAATCAGTGATTGCTGCTCCTCTGCCAAGTCAAGGCATTTAGGAGCAAGTGGAAAAACTGTTTGGCTCAAAGTATAATAAATGTAGAATGTGTCTATGGGACACAGATAATGCCCCGGCTTGCATATAACTGTATAAAGGGACATAACTAAAGAACTGTAAAAGTAACCACACCAATTCAAACTTGATCTGTGTTTAATGGTAATAAGCATTTTGTACAAGTTTCATAACATTTGGTTGAGACAAACTTAAGTTAGAGAGCGGAAACAAAAAATTCAGCAATTAATAAATGTTTATAAATAGTCATTATGATTAATGTTTTCATATCCAAGTCATTTTTTTTTTAAACCAGTGTTTCTGAGAACTAGGGGCTATTTTTTTCATGAAAAAAAAAATCAACCACTGGACTTTAATCAATGTTAATGGTAAGATTATTTTTCATTTTTTCACTTTCCACTTGTATCATACTAATAACCTTTCACTTTAGGGATGGGCTGACGTTTTTTGATCAGTTTGAAGAGAAAAATTTAAAGTGCAACTTGGAATATTTTTTTTAAACAATTTGTATTGTGAAATGGCAAAACCTATTGTATAAGCACAGTAATAAATCTGTTGATAGTAATGGTAGCCATATTGGTTAACTGATTGAATAACTGGATACTTTCCTTTCACAAAAGCCCTTAATGATATACTCATATTTCTCTCAATTTAGTAGTGAAGTTTTTATTCATATAGATACTAATGTTACAATTATTAAAAATATTTTATATACTTCAAATGTTTTTTTAAGATAAATTACAATATCATGTTTTTACTGTCTTATTGTTAAACCCATATTGCCCTTTTTTGCTGTGTTAACCTGTCTTATGATTGCATGAAGTTTTCTTACCATTATGTAGTGGTATAATAGTGACTGCTGTTGACAGTCTACCACTTCCCAAACTGACCAAGTGTGGTTTATCAGCATGTACTTTAACTGTGCTGTCAGGATCACTAAGTCTTACGTCTTCCTGTCTACACTGCAACAAAATCATCAGAGTTAGTAAAACTTACAATAGAAGCCATTCATGTGTTAACCAAGTTTATTTCAACTGTCTATTCAAATGAACTATCAGGGAATCTATACCATAACTAGTCACATGATCACTAAAAATACCAGGATGTAAATAGTATGTACAAAAAAATACCTTATGACTTCATTAAACTTTGGAAACGGTACTCAATAAGTTGAATACAGTAAAAAGATTAAGTGGATATAAGTTCAGCTTACATTTCCATTACACTAATACAACTTTAGATTGGTTTATGGATGGTTGATATCCAGCAGCAAATATCACATAAACAAATAAGATGTGGTATGATTGCCAATGAGACAACTTTCCACCACCATAGATCAAATGACGTAGAAGTTAAACACTATAGGTCACTGTACTGCCAATGAGCAAAAACCATACTTTATCACATACACATTCAGAACAATGATTATATCATAAAAAGTATACAATGAGCAATAACTTTAATACGCTAACTAATATGGTAACAGTCCACAGGAATACCCTACTCTTAATAAATCATTCCGACTCGGAGCATATTGGTCTTTGCACTTACATTAAAAATTCTGCAGGTTTGGCTTGGAAGAAGATAATACAAATTTACCCATATGAGTCTTTAGTTTGACCAGGGCTTAAGTTTGAAAACCAAAAGCTCCCACATATAAGACCAGAACCGCTATCACAAGTCCACAGAGGTGGTAATTTCTGCTATGTGACAGTCAATTACTCAAAGAAGCTTCATTATGAGTTCCTCAACCAAGTATTTGTCATGATTATAGTTATAGTAAATCAATATAATAAAGTAATATTAATCATTTTAATTAAAACCATCTTGACGTTCTATGTAGGTTCATTGCTAATACCCTTTAGTAACTCCCAAGATGAAGATCAGCAATAAAATAACTGCTCTCTATATATATATATATATATAGTTATTTCCCTGTATAACTTGGGAACATTTTTCATGCACAGCCACTCCATACCCAATTTCCCAATTGTAATTTCCTCAGATGAAAGATTGGTGTATCAGTATTAGTTTTTTATCTATGAATAAATTGATATTTTCTATTTTCATTAATAAGATAATTATATCAATAATTGATAGCCAGACTGGTAAAACTGTTATCTAGTTTTTTAGTTCGGTTCCTGAATGATAAGTGGGATGATGTGTGCCAACTGTTCTATACTTCAATAAACATATGATTAATGTTATAATTAACATAGAAACCCTTTTTACAGATGGTTTCACTTTTTATGAAGCAATAAATCATTTCTTTTTTTATAAGACAAACTGTTTATGTATTATGTAAACTTATTTTATACATATAACATCCTATAAGTTTTTTTCTTAATGTTATATAAACACAGGATAGCCCAAGGGCAATAACTCTTGTGGCATTACACTTCATATATTGAAATAATGTTTATATTACAAATTGATTATATGCATACCTAGTTATTTGAAATCTGTTTACTCTAATTCTCAAGATTATAATGTTAGCATACTTGGAGATATTAGATAATTAAAAACATCTAATCTAACAGTAAATGTTCAATAGTTATTACTAAACAGACTCCCCCCTCTTCCCTCTATTGCAGTTCCATGATCAACACCTCAGAATTCATCAATTTAGATTAAAATATTTGTTAACAGTAAATTACTTCATTGTAAACATGTGTACACAGTTTTAAGTTTTTTGACCAAAAAATTCATGGTATCTAAAATTACCTTGACCAATTTTTTTGACCAACAGACAGAGGGATGAAAAGACACACTGATGGACAAACAGATGAACAGACAAAAGGAGGGCCAGGGTGATTCATATATATATACCAAAACTTTGTTTGTGGGAGGTATAATAAGCCTAGGCTATGTTTCCATCATATCAAACAATGTTTGAATTCAGTCCCTTTTAATTTTCATGCCCTACTCACATTAGGAAATCCATTATAATATCTTGGTAAGTTGCCTAGACTCATCATCGTTATCTTAGGTCCATGTCATATCCTCACTTGGTATCTATGGTCCACAATATCACTTGGAATCTTAGGTCCATGTCGCAACTTCATGTTTCTTTGTTGGTAAAACCTCACTGAAAATATAAACAGAAATTCATATAGTCCTAGTTATTAAATCCTCAAAACAGTTTCCTCCAATATTAATATTAATCTATTCCGATAACATATGACAACTGTTGTACTAAAACATCCCCATGCAAGCGTAATACTACTTTTATAATGGAACCTGCCTTTCAGAGCTTATAAAATAACACCATACATCACAATGCATAAAATGTGTACCATATATGCTTGACTTTACTTAAACTCCTCTACATATGCAATGTATATGTAATAACTGGTTGATATCCTTACATTGGAATGTCAATAACAATCATAATCTGCAATAATGCATATTTCACTTTAGATATGTATTTTGAGACTCCAATTGTATAAAAGAGTTACATGTATCAGTTTTTGTGAACTTTTAGTTTTCCATAAGAACAATGTTAAAATAATGAGCATGTATGATGAGAAATGGATCAGTATAAACTGCTGCAGTCATATTTAAAAGTTTTACGGTGTTCAATAAAATTGTAATCTGTACAACGAATCTTAACAATGATGTTTATTTATGCAGCATGCACATTTCATTGCAAATCACAACAATGGTATTATCATAAATCCTTGGTTTATATAAAAGGGCATTTTGTGACTGCTATTAATTTCCAATATTCTACACTCAAATTACATGTAACCTGTAAATCTCACCAATAGATCTCCCACCTGACATTAAAAATGAAACTTTTCCTCTGTACTAATAATTTCCAAACAGTAGAATGATATAACAGTCCATATGTTTACTAATAAAGCAATCAGCTGATTAACCATGTTAACACTGCCACTTTGAAAACAATAGTTATATCAATACACAATAATGGATAATTAGTTTACTATGTTGATCACAGCCAGTCTTTGTAGATAAATCATATTTTAACAAGCCAGTAAGTCAAACATTTAGGTATTGATTTGTCAATTGTGATACAAGTAGCCATGGTCTTTTGTTTACATAGGCATTTGCAGAAAATCTAAATGAAAGTTTACTGTGTCTTCAAACAAATATGCAATAAATATTTTCAAGTTTCAGTAATAGTTCTAATATAAAAAAAAAGAAGATGTGGTATGATTGCCAATGAGACAATTCTCCACAAAAACCAAATGATGAAGAAGTTTACAATTATAGTTCATCGTACTGCCTTCAACAATGAGCAAAATCCATACCGCAAAGTAAGCTATAAAAGGCCCATTTATGACTGATTGATATGTCCAGTGACACATATTTCATGCATAATCAGTAACAATAAATCTATAATATAGGTTCTGCAAAGTGGATTGATCTGGATAAAGGTTAGGAACCCTTCACTATCTTGGATTGTAAAATAGCTCAATACAATTGGTCAAAATCTTTAAACGGATAGTAGCTACGATTTTCATTAAAATAATTTTTTTAATCTTTATGCCGGATTTTGTTCAAAAAGTTAATTGAGTATAAGTAAAACTATCACTGTTTACTTTCCATTTAGCATTCAGAAGCTTTTTAACGTTTGACACCTGAATCTAATTTTTGTCTACCAGGCAGTTTCTGCGAGAAAAAGGAACAGAAAAGAGGTGCAGACAAGTTCTTGTAATTTGAAAATAAATAACGGAGATGAGATCGGTCATTAGAATCACTTAAAAAAACCTGTCATGCAGGCAAAGTCACACAGAAGTAGCCGACAATACCACGGTTTGCGAAATGTTTACATTTCTAAACTATTCGAGATCACATGAAAACAAATTGTGACGTGTTCAAATCGTAATGTCCAAAATATGAGACAGGAATGAATTTCATTTGTAAGACTTTTCATCTAAATTATGAAAACTATGTGATTAATATTATTAATCAACTGTATTTATAAATACAGAATAATTTGTTTTTCATTCATTTAAAAAAACAACTAAGCCATAAAAGGGGGAGGGAGATTCATCTGAGTGGCACTGGAATCTAAACAGTTGGAAAGCCAAAACAAATACAAAGTCTAAGAGCTTTAAACAAAATTTTTTCTTTGATTCAAAATTTAAAACTTTGTTATACTAGGGGAGATAACTCAGAAAATGTATTTTTATATATGAATGTGCAGTCAATTACCGGTAACCTATTTTATTATGTAGCAAGTTTATAGTTGCCCCAATTTTCTTTTTATTTTCTGAAGCATGTTATAAACCGCTGAACTCTTTTGAGCACTCTTAATCTAATTTTTGTCTAAAACTGATTTAATTAAAATACCACCACCAACAAAATTAATCAAAAGAAACTATAAAACACCTAGATTTATGTACTTTCATTTGAAAAACTTAATCATCAAACTTCTCAATTATACAGAATTTAATATAAAACCTGGAAAAAGTTTACTAGTGATCATGAACTAAAGTTTTCTATGGATGAAATCAAAAGCAAATATTTTATCAGTTCTACAACATTTGAATCTTTAAACAACAGATAAGGCTTGTCTGTTTAATCTTTTTAAGTGAATAGGTACATTTTGAAAACAGGATTAGGTTATTTAAGAAAGACAGAAATGTAAACAATTTTTCTAATCATATTAATAGTTTTTCAGCTGAGCCTGTTTTCCAGTTTCTCTTGTTATAGTAAATGTGCACTTAATTTGCATCAAATTAAAAACAACTTTTAGAATATAGAAAAATAGTTGTGGAAGTGATGAACTATGGAGACGTATTTTCTATGGAATAAAAACATTTGGAATATCTCACCTAAGTTAACTCCTTATACAAGTATAATAAAGTGTTTGTACCTATTAAAAAACTGGTAATTCAAACTTGTACTAAAATAGTATAATAATTTGGAAGTACTTATACTGTTCTGAATTATTGAGATATATTTTGAGTATTTCCAATACTACAAAATTATACTATAGAATATAGTTAACGTCAATGAGACAGCAACAAAATAACAAAAAGATATAAAGAGGTCAACTTACAGTCTTGTCTACACAATGTGTCAAGCTCTCAACTACCCACAGTTGAAAAAAATTGTGATTAAATTTACAGATTTATCAAAAAATTACCAGCAATCCAAGTAACAAAACTCATTAAGATATGACAGCAAACTCCAAGTAACAAAACTCAATAAGATATGACAAATTATAACTAACAAAAAGAGGCTGACTTGGGATAGGCACATAAAAATATACAGTATATATTAAGAAGACATGGTTTAATTGCCAATGAGACAACTATCCAACAGAGTCCAAAAGACTTGGATTTAAGCAATTATAAGTCACCATATGGACTTCAATAATGAGCAAAACACATATAAAAGGCCACAACATGAAAAATGTGAAAAAATATAAATGAATAAAATGCTCCGCTGGGGCGCAGCTTGATACGACCGCAGAGGTCGAACCCTGAACAGTTGGGGCAAGTATGGACACAACATTCAAGCTTGATACAGCACTGAATTTGGATTGTAATTAAATATTTGACACAGCATAGGTTTCTGACACAGAATGAAAGTGGTCTAAGAACTTAAAAATTTTCAATTTACCTATTCATACATGCGATGGACTGTGAAACTCAGATCAGGAGATTGGGAAATTTTGGTCAGGAGATTAGGACTCAGATCAGGAGGTTTTTAATCGACATTAATTTTGTTGTAAATGTAACCGTGTGCTGTAAAAATGGTCTTTTAAAGTGTGTTTTCTTCAACTTTCCATCCAATTTATTATGTTTATAGTACCCTTGTACTTATAAAGTTTCTCCATCTTTATATTCTACATGTTCAATCTAACATTGTTTTTTTCCAGTATGTTCTTTAAACTTTTTACTTCATATTCTATAAAACAATCATTGCAACCTGAACATTTGTTTAGCTATCTGCAAATAGTTTTTATTTTTTTTTTTTCTCTTGCAAATACTTTTTATTTGCAAACTCAGAAAATCATTCTATCTGTAAACTTAGAGTCATAGTTATTATATAAATTTCAATTTAAGCCTTGAAAGGAAGTATAGAATCCTCAAATAATTTTCAAATTATTATTTTTTTATTTGTCCTAAGACATTTAAAATCATTTAATAACCATCCTTTTATGATTATTTGTTCAATTTATATTTTATTTATATTCTTTTAAAAATTTTCATTATTAAAAGGAAAGTAACTTAAAACAGGATAAATCAAGGGAAGTAACCCAATAAATACACAGTTTTTGTTACACAACGGCAGTTAGCCTGAGGTAAAAATCGTTGATTACCAGTATGTTTGACACCCAAGCTGACAAGTGAAGCCATATAATTATGCATGTTAATTGATTTACAGGTAAAATATAACTTCAGGTAATGTCAGTTACACCAGATGCCTGAGATGATATGTTGGGCAGAAATTTTTCATTCATGAAAAATTTCATACACGGGATTTTTTCCTCTTCAACGGGAGGTCGGGAGGAGACCCCTGAATTTTGGCCCCTAATTCCTAAAATTTGGAGGCAATTACCCCCAAAATCAATCCCAGCATTCCCTTTGTGAAATGGAACCTTGTGGTACAATGTCAGAGAGATCCATACACTTACACACAAGTTATGTCTGGAAGTTACAAAAATGCTTATTTTTGGCCCCTTTTGGCCCCTAATTCCTTAACTGTTAGTACCATAACCCCCAAAATCAATCCCCACCTTCCTTTTGTGGTATTGAATCTTATGGTAAAATTTCATTGAGATCCATTCACTTAAACTAAAGTTAGAGTGCGAAAACTAATGTGTCTTCGGACGACGACGCCGGACGACGACGACGACGACGCCAACGTCATACCAATATACGACCACAAAAATTTTTTTGCGGTCGTATAAAAACTATGTATGGTGTGCTTATATTATGAAACAACCAAAAACTTATGATAGCTAGTATAACAGCTGAAGGTAAAAACAAATGATTCAGCTTTTACATAAAATATAATCTGTTTTATTGAATTAGTATAATTTTAATAGTTTCAAATTACAGCTAAAAGTGCAAAATAAATGAAAATAAACAATGATTTAATTGAGAGAATTTAGGGAGTATAACGTTACATTGTAGAAAACATCATAAAGCAGACAAAGACTATCAAGGGTCATCAAACGACTGATTCAATCAAAAACTCCTGGGAAAATCTACAAATTTAACTACTTAATTTTGATTGATGCATGTAGCAGTATAACAACTACTGTAGTGAAATACTCTTTAACATCATAGCCTGAGAGGGGCAAACCCCATCCCCCATTCATATGACACTCAAAATTTGTCAAAAAATACAAAAAGAACCACAAATTAAATGTTAAAAATAACTGAATTATTTGTTAAAAGTCACTTCACTTTCACGATACAAAATATTTCATAAGGCTAGCATGAATGAGCTTTTCATTCCTCATGTGTTTACTTCTGTATTTAACAAATTTTGAACCATTTAAATATCCAGTTAAAATTACAGAATGAATGCAAATTTGAAAGGTTAAAACTTATACAGAATTCATTGCTGACATACAATGCTGCCAAGATTAAAGATTCTTGTTCGTTTCTTAAATGTTAATAAACATTCTTTAAAATGAAAAAAAAATAATCTAACACAAACTGAAAATTCATGAAGATATTGACTTTTTTTTCACAAAACAACCCCAATTCACAGAAAGTGGAACAAAATATATGATAAGTGCATATATAAAATACCTCTATTTTTCAACTGAGAGAATACATCCACATTAGGTTTCCATACTTATAAACTTCAATGAACAACTTTTAATACAACTAATAAGAAATGAATTTAATTTATATACATGTATCATAGTTATTCTAAATTTAGACTCAATGAAGTACCTGAACATTCAATATTCAACAAAAGTCACGAATTCTTGTAATCTTCAATATTTGTGAAGAGCTTCCTAATAACTTAACATTCCAATGTTCAATTCACAGGCAATTTTAATTTCAAGTTTCAACTTCTTTAATATCATTTTTACCTTGCATAGCATTTTTGTACTATATCATACTGGAACAATGTTTGTTGTGCTGGACTATGGTATAGGGACTACAGAAAATTGACTTTTGAACAGGAATTTTTTAAAATCTAATAAAACTTTTCAGTCTATAAAATACAAGGGTAATCCGCTATCCTTACTAATATGACTGGGATGTCATATTTCATATTTTTTTCAATATGAAAACAAGGGTTTTCTTTCTTTAATACATTGTACTACAAAATATTGAAATGTAAAAAAAAAATAGATATTTTTGTCCCATAAAGAGTTCAAAACTTTCACTTACCATGACAAATATTCAAACTAAAGTTTAAATCCTTCTCAACACAGATTCCTTATCCAACTGCTGATAACACATTCCATAAAACACTCAATTCACCCAGGACAAAACTTCAAAAATATGTCACATAATTTCTCATAAAATCAATACTTCTGACAACCCTTGCTTAAGTTTTCTTTTTAATCATCAATATATTTATATATTTTAAAGATCCAATAAGTGAAAGTAATGTTGAAGTATATATGCTGTTCTATCATTGACCAGTCAATCACAATACATATCCTTCACAATGTGGTCAAGTACTATTAATTAATGTTAATTAGCACGTGTTGATAAGGAACCACTACTGGCTGTTATCATACATCTGTTCTGTCAGAGAGAGGTACAGTATTTCTAATTACTTTTATCAAAATGAGGCTGTGATAGAGAGGATTTAATCTACCTGGTTGTGTCAGTGAAAGGATTATTACACCTTTTATCTTATTGAGGCTGCATTGGAGCGGTATCTTAACGGAGGTTCTCGTAAAAAGAGATCCACCAAGTATGCTTATTATTATACTTTCATCAAATTGAGACTAAGGTTGATACAAATCTATTCAGTTTGAATGTCAGAGAGGAACAGTATCTATATTCAGCTATAAGCTTGTTATCAAAATAAGTCTCCATCTATTTATTTGTATTGCTAAGAGTTGCATACCTTATTACCAATAGTATCGATAGTTTTCTATGTTGTGTTTTGTGTACTGTTGTTTGCCTCTTTGTCTTTTTCTTTTTTAGCCATGGTATTGTCAGTTTATTTTCTACTTATGATTTTGAATGTCCCTTTGGTATCTTTCGCCTCTCTTTCGTTATCAACAGACAATTTTAAAATGAGGATACTGCAGAGTGGGTATTACATTATGGTATAAAAACTAAAGAGCTGCTCCATGAATGCATGATACGCCCGTTGATTTTTCAAAGAATAAAGTTCCATAACTCCTCAATGTCATATCAGAAATTTATAAAAAAACTAAAGGGGCGTTATTTTAATAGATATAAAACAGTAGCCAAAGTTTAATGAAAACTGCTCAAAGCACTTTTGAGTTATTGTCTGAAAACTGGAAAATCCCCCCTTTTTTATGAATAAAATCCCATAACTCGGAAACTTAAAATCTAACATTTATAAAAATCGAAAAGGAGCTTACGTCAATAGATAAAAACAATTTACCAAAGTTTCACAAAAACTGCTCAAAGCATTTTTGAGTTATTGTCCAAAACTGGAAAATCCCCCTTTTATAATGAATAAAACCCCATAACTCGGAAACGTAAAATTTAAAATTTATAAAAATCAAAACGGAGCTCACGTCAATAGATATAAACAATTCACCAAAGTTTCATGCAAATTAGTTATTTGAGTTTTGAGTTATTGTCCCACATGTTGACGACGGACAACGGTATAGACGTACCATAATACGTCCCGACAACGGGCATATAAAACTTAGTCCTGAATATATCATGACTCTTGACTAGTTAACCATTAAGATGACCTTGAGGTCAAAGGTTCACTGTCATGTACAACGGTAGCCTTGCCTGTACCTTTATGATAAAACATCAAAACCAACAAGAATTTAGGGAAAAAGCAAAGTTTTATATCCCATAACAATATACATTCCTTCATCCAACAGGGGCATAACCATATACATTCCTTCATCCAACAGGGGCATAACCATATACATTCCTTCATCCAACAGGGGCATAACAATATACATTCCTTCATCCAATGTGGGCATAACAATATACTTTTCTTCATAAATTTGACTATTACTGCCTAAGGTTAGCCATTTACACCTAATTCCTTTTAATACAAAAAGTTATAACAACCACAACCTATGATGAGGTTTCTTTCATGGGGACAGGCACTTTAAAATTTGGCTGGGTCAAACCAGTTTTGTATGGGGGACAGGCCCTTTAAAATTTGGCTAGGTCAAACCAGTTTTGTATGGGGACAGGCACTTTTAAATTTGGCTGGGTCAAACCAGTTTTGTATGGGGGACAGGCCCTTTAAAATTTGGCTGGGTCAAACCAGTTTTGTATGGGGACAGGCACTTTTAAATTTGGCTGGGTCAAACCAGTTTTGTATGGGGACAGGCACTTTTAAATTTGGCTGGGTCAAACCAGTTTTGTATAGGGGACAGGCACTTAAGTATTTGGCTGGGTCAAACCAGTTTTGTATGGGGACAGGCACTTTTAAATTTGGCTGGGTCAAACCAGTTTTGAATGGGGGACAGGCACTTTAGTATTTGGCTGGGTCAAACCAGTTTTGTATGGGGGACAGGCATTCTAATATTTGGCTAGGTCAAACCAGTTTTGTATGGGGGACAGGCACTCTAATATTTGGCTGGGTCAAACCAGTTTTGTATGGGGGACAGGCACTTTAATATTTGGCTAGGTCAAATCAGTTTTGTATTGTGGACAGGCACTTTAATATTTGGCTAGGTCAAACCAGTTTTGTATGAGGGACAGGCACTTTAATATTTGGCTGGGTCAAACAAGTTTTGTGTGGGGGACAGGCACTTTAATATTTGGATAGGTCAAACCAGTTTTGTATGAGGGACAGGCACTTTAATATTTGGCTAGGTCAAACCAGTTTTGTATGGGGGACATGCACTTTAATATTTGGCTAGGTCAAACCAGTTTTGTATGAGGGACAGGCACTTTAATATTTGGCTGGGTCAAACCAGTTTTGTATGGGGGACAGGCACTTTAATATTTGGCTAGGTCAAACCAGTTTATAGCGTTAGTTCGCTTTTTATGTAACGTCATATCCGAAAAATTTTGGCGGGAAAATGCTTGAGAGGGTAAAAAGGAATATCCAAAATGGCATTTGAGGCAAATTCACCGGCAGTGGTGAAAAACAGGCAAATTCGTTTGAAATGAGGAAAAAAATATTAGAATATGCGAAAAATACACTGGCTATCAACCAATCAAAATCTGGCTTTCTTATACAAGGTGTAAGTAGGTTTTTAATTGTGTGTTACAGATAATTATCATTTAGGTTATACAACTGATATTCTCAAGTTTGACAGAAAAATGCAAATAGCCCCACCCCTCCTCATCCCTCATCCACCTCTTATAAATGCAATTACTTATATAGACATTAAAACATCTAACAATAATATTGATATTCACAGTATTGTAACCAGATTATTTAACAAACATTCACATAGACTACAAATTAATTTCCATACTATGATAAAACATCTTCCCAGGTGTTTACTTTGATGTCTTATAATATCTAATTAAAGATTACCTGAAGTGTTATATAAGTAAAACTTCAAAAGATTTGTATACAACATGCAGAAAGGTTGGGTCAGGTGTTGTGGGATTTGTGAAGAATGTATGGATCAGAATGAAGAGAGGTGAAGTGATCCAATGGGAATAAGATATCTGGAAAGTCTGCCAGTGTCTGAATATCAAGATATAATAGTGTTAATATTGTACTAGTGAAATAACTGCCTCTCATATTTACTTAGAATATGATGGGTCTAATGAGGATTGAATTTCATTGATTTACATAATATTCAATCAATATTGCAAAATTGTGTTTAATATAAATATATGAAAATGACATCAAAAATCAATCTCAAAGAAAAGAAAAGGAAATCACCTTAAAAATGCTGGTTTTCTTAAATAAAAAACCAATTTGTCCCTATGATTTTCACAATCATATCATATGTATAAATAATGCATCATGTTGGGAATATCTTTCAGATAATTTTTAAAAGCCAGAGCTTGTAAAACAAAGCTTGTAAGACTGGCTCAAATTGTACAATTATTTAAACAAAATTTTTCTATTGTATAAATAGCAGCATTCTTGAGTTATTTATTGGCAGTTAGGGTCTTTGGACACCAATGGTGATAAATCTAAACTACAATATCATAATGGTCTAAGTACCAGTAAGAAAAAGCTTAGTTTAAAATGGCTTAACAGTTTTTAAGGTGATCTGAAAGCAAAGTATAAGAAATCATCAACACAAAAGCAGGCAAAATTGATTTATATAACCGTAAATAACTAAATAGGTTTAAAGTTTCAAACATATATTGATGCCTCTTAAAGCAGGGTTGTAACAAAAATGGACAGTGACTGGCAAAATTGCCATCTACTTAGTCAGAACACTAGCAAAATTGCTTTATACTCAGTCTGAACACAGGAAAATTGCCATCTACTCAGTCTGAACACAGACAAAATTTTCGTCCACTCAGTCTGAAACCAGGCAAAGTTTCTATCCACTCAGTCTGAGCACAAGCACAGTTACCATCTACTCATCCTGAACTCAGGCAAAATTGCTATCCACTCAGTCTTGATTTTTGAAATTTTGATTGAATGTAAATGACATCTACCTTAAGGATGTTCGCTCCTTTTGTTTTTGAATTTTTGCCAGATATTTGGAATCCTCTGGTTTTATCCATGTAGTGCCATTAAAAATTTTTGCCCACTAACCCCTACTTTTCTTTTCATAATTTGATTAAATATAGTTTAAAATGCCATCTTTGAAAATCTTATTAAATCCTTGTTATTTTTTCATACTTTTAGACAGAAAAAAGGTGCCAATGTTAAATGTATGAAAAATCTAGAGAGAATCATTTCCCGCCAAATTTTCAATGGCTTATATCTCGAAAACAAGCACACGGACCTTTCATTTTTATCTGCTTTTTTAGTTCCTTTATTTACAAACTATCAATTTATAACAGTCTTTTAAAAAGCTTATTATTTTGAAACAGAGCAGCGAACATCCTTAAAAAGATTGAGGTTCATTAACTCCTTTAATTATGTTTAGAAACCTACTTATCTTCTAACATGATTCAACATATCAAGGCTCAAAACTTAACTTCTGTCAGCTACCCTTTATATCTTTTAAATTAGTGATTATAAACTCACCAGACAAGAGGCAGTAACACATATAGCTTCACTCATGTGGAACCAGTTTCCTTTTCATTCTACAAAATCTTTCATCCATGTCCAATTCATTTCTAATTGCTATATTATACTATCTGAAAATAATATAAATATGAATGAAAAGGAAGATATTATAAATGTAATAAAAAGATTTACAGATG